GTAATGTTTTATTGTTATACAGTGCAATGTTTCATTGTTATACAGGGCAATGTTTCATTGTTATGTAGTGCAATGTTTCATTGTTATACAGTGCAATGTTTTATTGTTATGTAGTGCAATGTTTTATTGTTATACAGTGCAATGTTTTATTGTTATACAGTACAATGTTTCATTGTTATGTAGTGCAATGTTTCATTGTTATACAGTGTAATGTTTCATTGTTATACAGTGCAATGTTTCATTGTTATGTAGTGCAATGTTTTATTGTTATACAGTGCAATGTTTTATTGTTATACAGTGCAATGTTTCATTGTTATACAGTGCAATGTTTCATTGTTATGTAGTCTAATGTGTTATTGTTATAAATTTCAATGCTTTATTTTTATGCTTTACAATATTGTATTTTTATGTAGTGTAATGTTTTATTTTTACTTAGAGATTAGGGTTTGGTAGAAAAAAAACACAATTCCAGCAGACGTATTTCTTGTTTCTGTTCTGGAGCTGTATGGCGTGTATATGGTTATGGGGTTTAGTATACTCCAGACGTTATGTTATTAGGTTGTATGTTTGTTTATTACAACTTTTCAAAGGGCATATCATGAAAGCACCTCAAGTTTAATTCAACACAATTACACACTCTTCCGCAGATAATTTAATCTGTTTGAATCGATTTCATATTGAGCAAAATAATTATTAATCATATTTTTTAGTTCAAGAAACGACAATTTTACATTACAATGCGTGGTGTGACCTGAAACATTGCGCGATTTAGGGAATCCCCATTGAACGTGTTGTACTGGCGAATGACGTCACACAAAAATCCCGTGATGCATTGCGATTTTAATGGGCGTGCGCGGGCTGTAGCTGCGTTAGTTATGTTGTGAAAATGCCGTCGGAGCAAGCTAAAAATGCCGCCTCGGTGTTACCAACACCAACGGAGAAGCCTTTCCATTACTCGTAAGTACCAGAAGTTCGAAATGATGACGCTGATGGACTTGTCGATCGCATGATCAGTGCATTTCTTTAGATGTATTCTCACTGAAATCGTTTGTGTCTTTGCAGGTATTTGAAAGAGTTTCGAACTCAACAGTGTCCAGATTTCCTGCAGCACAAATGTCAGCATCATCGGCCGTTTACTTGTTTTCACTGGCACTTTATGAACCAACGACGAAGAAGGCCGATCAGAAAACGAGATGGTACTTTTAACTACAACCCGGATATATATTGTACCAAATATGATGAAACCACTGGATTATGTCCAGACATTGACGAGTGAGTATTTCTGTCATCCTATCAGCTGTTGGATGTTGTTGTTGTTGTTGTGTTCGTGTACAACGTGCGAGGTGCAGAGTAACCCCGGTTCCCTTTACTCCGATTGTACTCGTAAATCGGGCATTACTACTAACGCATTTGCCTGTTACGTGAATAATAAACAGAGAGTTCATTTCTTGTCTTGTTAAGATCCAAATGGTGTGTGGTTGGTTTGTGCAGCCGCCTGTCAGTGTCACAACATCGTGACAAGTTTGCGTCTTCATGTGGCGTTGTTTAATCGCCGGTTTTACTCCAATGCCGATTTAACGATTGGTTGCCTGTTCTTGTCACATGCAACCCAATCAAATTAGTTAGTGTACAATTGCAATGTAGCGGGACTATAACAAATAGTTTACGTATTTGATTAGTGATGATTCACAAACCCTTACGCACTTGACAGCCCATTTTATTTTATTCGTAACTTTGCGCACCGTTTTATTTGTTGAAGCTGCTTATAATTTAAACTAACATGGCTGGAAACCATTGATGTTCTATCAGTAGACCCAGAATGTTAATAAGACTCAGCAAGCCCTTGGATAATGGCCGTCATTGATCAGAATTTCTTGGGAAATCCCCTCTGTTTTGATAGCGTTTGTTATGATGTTTGAATCTAAATTTAGCCAATATTTGATGCATTATAAAACATGTAAACCTTTCTTAGTATTAAATAATCAATCATCATCTCTTTATTCATCATCTCTGTACACATTCGGTGTCTTTTGAGTGGACAGTTTGACAATATAATGTTCACTTCAAAAGTACATGTCTGGCCGTTGTGTTGCTGACTGCCCTCCTAATTATTCAAGATGGCGGACTATATTCAAATAAAATTGTAGCCAAACAAAAGGAATGTCGCAATTTTTCTGTCTAACCGCTTTAATTGGCCATTTTCATTAGTCGTAACAATTTCCGAAGGGATCAAAATATTTGTCTCGGGCGACAATGTATTCAAATGATTAGAGTATTTCTATAAAATGTGTTAATTTTTATGTAGATGGCGAATTACGGTACGTTCCGTGGTTTGTTGTTGTCGACATAGTAGCTGCCACTGCGTGTCTGAAGTTGTTTTTTATGATAACTGTTCTGCCTTGTTCATTTAACGGGGGCACGAGATTTTTTTAAATTTCTGGTTCGCAATCCCCAAATATAAAAATTAATAATAGTTTTGTTTTATAATTGTTCAAATGAATCAACGGTGTCTATTCCTGCCGTATTTTGTGTCAATTGACGTTAGTTGTATGTTGTAGAATTTCAATATGGCGTCTGAGTGGTCGCCATTGACTGGTTCTGAGAAAAAACAAAAGCATGTATCGAGTTGTTTTAAAATTAAATTCGCATTTTCTTTAAATCACAGTCACTTAAACTCAATTTAAAGTGGTATGTATGTGTTTACTGTTCCCATATATACTGAATACATCTATACCTTTATGAACTAGAAACAAAATTATATTTATAACTTTGAAAATAATGTTAATTATTGACACAGGCACAGAAACAGTAATTATATCTCTTTTAATATTTATTCTCGGCTTAGTGGGTGGGCTTAGTGAATATGAATAATGCAACTTTTTTTTTTTTGGCAAATAGTTTTTGAAACAAATCTCATAAATGCCCAAGCATGGCAAAAAATTTTCATAATATATTATGATATGTATATTAATTTTTGTTTGAAAAAATTAATTAAAATAACATATCGTGACCTCTATTGTTTCTTGAAAGTTCAAGCAGGTATTTCAGCTGTCAAGCATGGTAAAGCTGTCATGTTTAGAGAGGAAACACTGGGGAGAATAATTACATGTCTTGTTAAGTTTTAGAATAGTTATATGTTTTAACAAATTTTAGATCTAGATGCAGTGAACTAAAAATATTGTTTTCTCGTCTTTGCATTTTATTCAAAGCAATTGATCCACTCTAATTTTTAAACTTAGTACAGGTTGAATGTTCCATTCATGTGGAAAATAATTTTACTAAATTCCATAATTAATTATTTTCAGAGTGGCTTATGTAAACTGTAATATTACCATAGGTGGGGGTGCAGTGTTCTTGATGTGATATTCAGTTCATTTTACAAGGCATAAAATAAAACTCTGTTAGATTTGTTGTTTATACAATCATGTGAAAGTGACAAATCAGAAGAAACTATGTGAAGTTTGTTGTTGACAAAGTGTGATGCACAGGTCAGAGTTAAAAGTAATGTGACAAACAGAAACAGAAACTACTGTTGAGCTATTAATAGTAACTGATGAGAACTATCTGCAATTATTTTAAAATACATCATACCTGGCATGTTGCCGTGCACTACATTGTATTATAAGTTTTGTTTAGTGAATCCAAAACATGTTGAAGTAAAGAATAATATTGAGTGAGAATTTGTTTTCTGAGTTGTAATTCATATTGAAGAAGTTAGCATTTGTCTATTCTACACCAGTAGTGTTGCCATATTATACATCTTGTATTGGTCTATATATATACATGACCCAGTTGTCATTCAGTTCTCTTGTATATCATATCCCAGATCAGTGTCACATTTCAATAATTAAAACTCTGTCAAATAAAAAATCTTTGCAGTGTACTCGACCGATAGTGGCATGTTTTCATATGAGCTTGAATGAGAATCAGTGTTTGTATACAGGTTACTTTTTTTATAGCTTGTTTGTTGTGTTTAAGTTCATGACCTGGAAATGGACTGACAGAATGATTTATGACTGCCATTGTATGTAACACCCACTCATGTCCACCCAGTGCCAATACTGTTTCTAAATATGATTCATCTGTTATCAATATTTCCTATTACTATAATGCCAGCCAAGCAATTTCAATCCTACATGTGTTAACCCATTTCCATCACTATTTATCTGTACTTATTGCACTTTAAACCTTATTACACACACTAAAATGACTTGCAAATACAAATAGTGATATGGTTTGGTGATTTAGTTTTTAATTACATGTATTATTCAATACCGGTATTTTATAATCAAAGTTCTGAACCTAAATGCAGTAGTAGTTTCTTGTCAATTTTGTTATGACATACATTTATGATCCATTTCCATCTCCTCAGGGGATTTGTAAGTGTAATGAATGAATAAGACATGATGGGTATAATTCCTGCAACTAAAGATCTCTTTCATATTTTTAATTGTTCTTAACATTGAATTATTTCATGTTATTTTGCTCCACATCGATGGTTGTCTTTAAATTAATCTGGATACAGTACCTGTGCTATATTTAAATATATTTTTATTTATAGTACTTACTGCTGTAATAATTGTAATTTGGTTTATACTGGTGGTATCTTTTCTACATTCAGTGATTGTTTTTCTACTTGATAATCGTTTATTATTACGTTAGAAATATTGTAATGTTCTGTCTCATTTGAATATATGAATAATGGTGATATTTTGTTTATATTTGTGTTTTGATCAGCTGAAATTTATTTTCAAATTATAGATTGTTGTGTGTAATTTGTATATTATTACATAAATATCTGTACATAGTCATTACTGGACATATTACTACATATTTGTATTTGGCATGTTTAATCATTAATTGGACATTGTTTGAGAAACTGTGTTTACATATTTTGGCCAGACAATAATACACAAGTGCAGTTTATCATACTTTGACCTGTGTTAGTGGTATTTTAGGATTTGAACGGCTGACAGTTTTAATTTGAAATTTGTGATTGCTTGTGTAGATTTTGGTAGGTAAATTATTATTATGTGGTTATCAATATTAAAAACTTCACGAGTTCCATGGTGGGCCAGATTTTGCCTGTGGAACTAACGGTTTAACTTTACAAGTTCCATTAAGGCCTTGAACTTTACTGGGACATCAAAGGAAAATTGCCTTTTTACCAGTTTGCATTCACCAAATACAGATATTTGCCTAAAAAGTATATTATATTGCCTAAGGCACTTTCATCAGATGTGTTGGAAATTACGTGTTCAATAGATTCTTAAGTTTAAGTTCTACTTTGTGTGTGTTTTAGACTTGTGCACATTTTTCATATGTGCATGTGGCAATGACAATATTTTTTGCCAAAATCTGTGTTATATTGATTGTTTTAGTATTAGTCAAAATTAAGTGAATTTTGTGTTTATTGAGAAAAACTTGCAACTCAACTGAGTTACAGCGAGCGCAAGATATTTACACACACCTACATGTAACTCCTGTACACGGTAGGCAATTACCGAGGGACTTTGCAACATCCCCAGACACTTTCCTAGAGCCTTCAATGACCGTTGTAGATGCAATAAAGTTACATACACCGCTCACGTGACAGTTAATCAAAACACCGGAAGCAGTAAGTCTTTTTTGTGTGGCCACAAAGAACGAGGGGTAGTTGGAATATTCCATTGTTTTATAGGCACAAAAAACATTGCTGTGCAACACTTGGATGAAATATAATACGAACATAAAACGGGGAATGAATATTACCAAAAAATGATAAATGTAAATTTCTTTGATTGGTAGTTTGTTGAGATGTTGTAAATGGATGTATATTAATATTATTAGTGTCCCGTTCAATTTTTCGCATAATGGCTGGTCCCATTGCCATTTTGCCAGAATACTCATCGCCCAGTTAATCTTTCCCTGCAATCTTTTACTTAGTTTCACCTCCACAGCGTCACCATATACCAGTTTCAAATATCCTTCAGATCTCAGAAAAAAATCGATAAACTCAACAATTTCTTGTGTAACATTCAGTTGACAACGGCCGCTACTCCTCTCGGAACGTATGCCGCTCAATCCCTTGAATCGTTGCCCTCGCTAGTCCAACATCCTCTGTCGTCGATCATTCACAAGAAGCGAATAATTTCCATCTAAATGTCTTTGTCTAAACGCTTTGACATAATAACAATAATTGTTCATATGTATGCATATAATATTAATTTGAAAGTGTCTGATATCAACAATGAGTAAAACATGATTGTTTGATGAATGTTTGTAATAGTTGGACCCATCTGAAACGTTGGTCCATTGTTTTGATTAACTGTCACGCAGGCGTGTATGTAACTTTATTGCGTCTACAACTGTTACTGGAGTGTCTGAGGATGTTGCAAAGTCCCTCGGTAATTACCTACCGGGTTCGGGAGTTAGGTGAATGTAAATATCTTGTGCTCGCTGTAAATTCCACTTGATGACACTGTTCTACTATATATCATATTTTAATTATAATATAAATATTGATATGAATGATCCTTGTGGTTAATTCTCACAACAAAAAGATAGATTAAGATCTCTTCCATTTAGCAGTAAAGAAAACGTGTATAGTGATACAAAAACAACTTTTGTCACTTTGAACACAAAATACCATGGTTATGTTCATTTGGTCCAGAATTAATAGAAAAATGTGTAAAATGTTGCATCAACATTTTGACGGGATAGATGATCAGTTTATTCAAGCATGTTGTTGGCTTTGATTAAACTAAGTCATAAGCTGGTAGTATTACTGTGATCCCTTGATATACAGCTGCTATGATCATGTACAGAGTGTCATGTGGAATTCATTCATTCAGTCAGTGTACTCTATTAACATTCCCATTACATTATGAGAACTGTTGTGCATCTGGGTCTATTGGGGTCAATGTGAGTAGTTAACTAAGATTGATTTTTGAACACACATGTGAGGTAATGTCATACAGATGCCAATACAAACATTTTTTACTCTTATTCATGGCTATTCAAAAAGTGCTTCTAATAGAACAAATATAGTACTAATCCTTTAAGTCCAAATTTGTAAATTTATTTGTAACGGTTTGTGGATGTGCATTGTTGGTTAAAAATTCCAAATGAATTTTTCTCCTAGCTGGGAAATTATTGAAATACTTATTATTTATTGATGTGATTTTTCTGATCTTATAATGCTCCAGGGTATACTACCGTGGTAATTATAGAAAATGAATTTTAAAATGCATTACAAAGGAATGTGTCTTCTTTGTCCTTAATTCATGTATTCAGTACATATGTGATTAGATGGAGGAGTTTCTTGTAAAAACCTTTGTGTTAGCCCTTGAAATGCCAATGTCAACATTTTGTCACTTTTCACAAAATAAATGAATGTACATGTAGTTCTGGGTTCCATGGTTGTAGGGGTCATTACAGCTAGTAACTGGTTACCACAGGCTAGCTGGAACTTACCCTAAAAACTAATCTCATTGTTGGTCAGCCTGCCTCATGTCGTGAGGTGATAGCACCACTCTTTCTACTGTCACTCCATTATTTCCAGTACTGGGGCAGAGCTATATTTAATATTTAATACGATAGTATGAATATGCATTAATTTGTGTGAAATTTGTTAGTATTTGCAGTCAGTCCACATTGGTGCCAACTGTTTTGGAAGACAGCTCTAGATTTTCTTCATGATAGTGAGACCCTCTGATGGCTGTTCATTATTTACCCTTTAAGTGGTCATATACATCTGTGTGCTGTGTATTTTCAATGAATGCATATATCCCATAATACTCGCACATTGGTACAACAAATATGTTGCGATAAATGGATTTAAATCTTGATTATGACAAGTGAATATTACTTTTGTTTTTAAATTTGAAGATGTCAGTATCTTCATCGTCCAGCTGGTGATGTTGAAAGAAGGTACCATCTCAGATACTACAAAACTGGCATCTGTGTACATGAGACTGACTCCAGAGGGCACTGTGTCAAGAATGGTCCGCACTGTGCATTTGCGCATGGTCCTCATGATCTACGACCTCCAGTGTACGATGTGCGTGAATTAGTGGCTATGCAGGAAGCAGGGGGTAGTATGATTGCCGCTCCAATGCTCTCACCCAATCCAGATAACAACAATACAAATCCTCCCATCCAGTCAATACCAACTAGCATTGCAGAAAAAGACAAAAATGCTGTGAATGATGTGGAACATAAATGGCAAGGTGATGTAGCATTTTACCATATATGGTATCTTATTTGATATTCATGAGATGATTGATATATTATTGAAATGATTTCCTTAAAGGGGAACCGCTCAATCCCATGGATTGCACCAAAGAATCATGGGACACTATTGTTTATGTTGTTTACAATGTTAATCTATCTTTTGTTATCCATTGTTATTTTAATCCAGAAAGTAAATTTGTTGTGAAATTAATCTTAACTGGAAGGTGCCCCTTTAAAATAATTTGCAATTCATCTCATCCATTGGTGATGAAAGTTACATAATTTGTTGTCCAGAAGAATGCAAAATTGAAAAACAAAATACAATTTGCAACCCAACAAGATGTTTGAATTTCTCTTGAATATTATTTCATGCATATTAGTTGACTAACATTACTGCTGTATTTACATATTTTGTATTAACAGATTCTAGTTATGTATTAAGCAATTATAAAACTGATATATGTAAAAGACCTCCTAGATTATGTAGACAAGGATATGCCTGTCCACAATATCACAATAGTAGGGATAGACGAAGAAGTCCAAAAAAATATAAGTATAGGTAAGCCAATCTTTTGTTATTTGTGTACCATCCTCCTGCAGTATAAATAGCGCCCTCTAGTGACAACTGACATGATTTACAAAAAAAAGCAGACAACTGAACCACTTTAACCTAGATGACATCAACTCATCAAGTCATGTTAATTTCTAGCAGCTAAAATTAAATGATTTATAGTATTTTGAGCTCATTCACAGTGTTTTCATGATTCATGAATTTCACGGTGAAGCAATTTTAATGCAGCGTTCAAATGTGAATTTAATTCGGTAGATTTCACTTGCGTTCAGTATGGGTCTCATGTAACGTGTACATCAACAGTAGTAACATAAAGGAACTTTTTGAGGTTAAAATTGCATCTTGTAATTCCATCTCTAATAGTCATTACATGCCACGTATACTAACGTGGAAGAAGATTCAAAGAAGTCACCAGTACCGTATTTATCCGGGTATAAGCCCAGGGTCTTGAACATGGAAAATTGCCAAAAAGAAGGGGTGGGCGTTTGCCAGGAGATCCCCGGCAAAAAAAACGAAAATTGTCAACACGCAGATCAAACTGCGGCAAGGAATAGAACGGCAAATGAATACATGCAACGGAAATAAATGAACAATATGCAACACTAGAAGTATAACAAAAATAATGTATTCCTTATAATGTGACAAATAAACCAGAAATAATAAAAATCGACAGTGAGAAATCATTTGAAATAGGATTTTCCCGCCGACAAACACGCCCAATACGCGTGAACTCAAAATGAATTAAAATGTCAGGGGTTAAACTGCGTAAAATGATTTTCGGTCTTGTCAAATTACGAATCAACCGTCATACAAGATCAATATTAATTTACAAATTTACACAGTAAAAATTATAAAAATTCATAGCTGTTTGAAAACACTTCTCAGATCTTTATTTGTACGTTCTTTGTCAAACTCAAAACCCTCAAATGTCCAAGTCGGCGTCACTGTAGCCGTCGAACAAAATCCCTACAACTTATTCCTGACGTTCGTCGATATCGTCCTACACAATTTGGACTTAGCACTTTTAATCCACGGATATCGCAGTCTATCAGCTTGGCACTTTTCATTCATGTCTAATCATAATAAAGAGACAAGAAAAATGGGGTCGCTCTGCTGCGATGGCACACGATGCTTTTGTTTACAGTCTAGCAATCATCTTTGACCTTTATGCATCTGCTTTACTGATTGGCTAAGAATTACATCACTAAAATAAATAAATAAGTATTTCATCATAAAGGTCAAATCGTGACATTGCTTTCTTATCAGACTCGACGCTTATTAATCACGGTGAAAGTTATCATTCAGCAAGTTCCGGCGGTTGGAATGTCTCACTATATGGATATCGTGGTGGACTTGAAATAGGAAGTTTTTTTTTTTTATCCAACGACAGAAGAATAGTTTTCATGACAGAAATGCAATAGCGGTGATAAAAGATGGTAAAAAAGTTGGCAGTCTTCGGCGTGACATTGCAAAATTGCTGGCTCAGTTATGGATTCACAAGCTGCTACAAAATATTTATAATATAAAATAACGTGATTTCAACCTTTCTCCCCGGTACGGGTTGCTACAATATTGCAACATTGTTTTCATTGTCGACGATGCTAAAGCCGAACGAGTGCGACACTTGCTTAGCGGCTCTCCTTATACGATTTGCTTGAATCGTTTCTAAGGAAGCACAAACCAAACGGCCGGCCCTTTTTAGGGCCACGACATATTTCAAAAAGAGAACTACCGTTTCTGCTTTAATATTTATTTTTATAGACTTGCTGAGTGTTATGATTCAAACGCGCTGCCCTGAAGGCAGAAAGCTGTCACAGCTATTTTGCGTTCACCCCTTGTTTTACGCAATTAACAATGTTTATAAGTATCACACAGACTTCAAGAAAGTCTACTATTAATACAACCACAGTCAACGAATAGAAAATAGTTTTTTTTTGTTTTGTGTAGAAAAGGACCCCCTGGGCGTGTGCCCGGATATGACCTCAACTTCTTTATTGTGTCAAAAGTGGGGGGTGGGCGTTTGTCTAGGCATGGGCTCTTACCCGGATAAGTACGGTAACATGTAGGAATACCTGAATGTGTAAAGATTTACATAGATATTTATTTATTTAATGTTTAGGTCAACACCCTGTCCTAATGTTAAACATGGTGATGAGTGGGGTGAACCCACTAACTGTGAACAAGGTGATGGGTGTTTATACTGTCATACTAGAACTGAACAACAGTTTCATCCAGAAATCTATAAATCTACTAAATGCAATGACATGCAACAGACTGCATACTGTCCACGAGGACCTTTCTGTGCATTTGCACATATAGAACGTAAGTATGATAAACCTGGATTCATTAAAATCAAGCAGTTGTGTCATTTCAGAACCCTATCTCAGTAGTCGTGTATGTGTGGATATTGTTCAAACTTGGTACATGGATTCCTTGGTGCATTATATTGGATTCAAAATAAAGCATGTCTACCATTGTGAATCTGGATCAAATTAACTTATCACTTTAAGTTACTGTAAAATACTTTAATTTCACTTGGAATTAATTTTCGATATTTTCGCTGAAGGAATCATTCAGTGAAAATAAAATCCAGCGAATATACTTTTTTCCCCCTGTATTTTACATTCAACTTGTCAAAAATCAGTGAAAATAAATTCCATACAAAACTCCCAAAATGACTTTTCAGCGAAAATTAATTCCAGCTAAAATAAAGTATTTTACAGTATACATCAGTCAAGTTCTGATTCAAAAAGGTTGACTGTTTTCAGTTTTGTTTGTTGTTGTATGACGCGGACTGTGTCATATCAATGACTTGTTAATTTTTGTGGTTATAGAAGAGATGACATCAATAAAAGAGTTAGAGGAAGAACAAAGCATCTCATGTGTAGGCGGGACAACGATGACATCTAGTCAGTTTACAATCTCATTAAGCCAACAGGTAAGGTAGACAAATATAAACGACACCTAGATGGTTTACAATCTTATTGAATCCACAGTTATTTGAATATTTGTATTGAATCCATGTTTCATTATTATTTTTATTCCTGTTTAGCTTTCAACAACAATAACAAGTACATTATCTGGTGATAGTTCACCGCTTAGTATACCAAGTCAGAGTCAAGTCATAGGTCCTATAGCCAAGCCCAGATCTAATAGTACAAGTAGTAACTTCTCATCTGAAAGCGCTTCTTACATGAAAGCACCTGGATATGAAAGAGAAGATATACATGTATGTATTGAATAATTTTTCATCTATTAGTCCTATACTTAAATACTGTAATCTGTATCACTTTTCTGTTCTTAAAAATACTTTTGTTTCTTACAGGCAAATTTAAGGAAACATTTATTAGTTATAGAAAATGATACCAATTTAGATGAACAGGAAAAAGCTAGAAGAAAACAGGTAAGGTAGTTTTCTCCCAAAATGTATACTAGTACATGGTATACTTGACACCATATCACATGGACTAAATTTTATTAAAGGTACAGTCAAACCTGTGTTAACGACCACCTGTGCAGAGCGGCCACCTGCTCATAGCGACCACCTTTAGTACAGTCCCTTCGCAGTTTACATGTTAAAGACACTGGATATAGCGACCACCCGTCCAACGCGACCAGCGACCACCCTATTGTAGACCTATTCACACTTTAACCTTTGTATAACGACCACCAACATTTCCATCAGACGGTCTCAGCAAAAAGACAATAGCTACTTGCGAATTGCTAGCAGGAAAGTGGCCATATGTTACGTTCAGATTACCGAGAATGCAATCTTTAGGGCTAACAGACAGGGGTGACCATCGCAACTTGGTTTGTGAAGTTGCGAAAAAGTAAAAAAAAAAGTTGAATATCATCTGAATGTAACGTCTGGAGACTGGAAAGATTTTAACAACAAATTAAAAAAGTTTCATTCAAAGTTTGAAATGAAAAACTAGCTTGTTTCCGATTGGTACTATACTATCGATCCCCAGCCGGCCAGCGGCAATTCTGTGGACTGTCTCGCACATGGAGGGCAAGTTCCTCTCGTCTCGAAAACAAAGAAAAATGAACCAGTTTTATTAAATGAGAGATGTTTTATTTACCTTGTCGACATGAAATATCCAAACAAAATAATAAAACATTCGTTTATTTTGTTTTCATCGCGGGATTGCAAAATCCGACCTATTTTGGCCGCCATGTTGTTTGTTGTTGATCGTTATAAATTATGCTAATAAAGCTAGCGCATGGGCAAAACGTATTGTTACTGAGGGGTCATCTCAGGTTATTCTCAACGAAAGGTGTTTTTT